ATATAATTATAATTGTTTAATTTTAAATCATTTATATAAATATTTCAATTATTTCATTTTCATTTATTATGATAATTCAAATGATATAATATTTTCTTATTACATAATTTACTTATTAAATTAATTTATTATTAATACTTTGAATATTATAATCTATTCTTTTTGAAATAACATTCAATACTTATTCATAAACAAAATTAAATAAATATAAATAATAAATATTTTATTTATAAATCAATGAGATAAAATAAGTAAATAACAATAAGATAAAAAATGATAAAATAATTAAATTAATTATTAAATCTAATAAATAAATGTATAGAGTATGATATTTTATTATTCGTTTCAATAATTAAATAAAAATGATTAAAATAACAATAATAATAACATTAATAAAAATAATAATCAACATAATAAAAAATATATAAATAATTCTAATTAATTCTAATTAATTAATATCTCATATAATTCATAATTATAACTATTATTCAATATCATTTTAACTATTTTTAATTATGTAAATATCTATTATTCATTTTTATTCATTTATACATTAAGTTCTTTCATTAGAATTATTAAAGATAATATTATCTTGAATATTGAACAAAATCTTATTTTCATATTCTTGTTATTATTGCTTCATTTCTTTATTTAAAATTATAATAAAAGTTGTTAATATTTATTATTAAATTAAATTATTGTATCAATTTATTTATCATTCTATTCTGATGTTGTTTATTTATTGAAAATAAATAAAATAATTTGTATTATATTCATTCATTATTTAAATGTATACTTGTTTCTTTCTTTAATCTTATCATTGAATATCAACCATTTTTGATTTTTCTTTTTGATTCAAAATTTCTTTGCTTTCGTGTTTTGTATTTAAACTTAAAAAGAATAGAAAATATCATCAATATTTACTTTCATTTTTTTTGTTGTAAATATTATCGATTTCAATACATGGATTGCTATTAACAATAGACAGTTCGCAATAATTGAACAACTTAGAAGAATATCCATCTTCAATATAAATAGTAGATTTGTTGTTGATTTCAATAGAATATATTCATTTAAATTATCTACAGATATTTTGTTTGGTGACAGATAAATGATGAATATATTAATATTCTTAAATAAAAAAAGAAGTAATGAAGAAAGGACTAAAATAAACAAAGAAATTATATATATAAATAAAAATCATAAAAATAAAAAAGAATAAAATAATTTATATCAATAAATTATTGTTAAATAATTTGCATCAATAAATTAAACACTTTTTATTGCATATTTCTAATTTCTATAATAAAAAATACACCCATTATTTCATCACTCTTTTCATCTTTTATTATCTCTTTTTGAATTATTCATTTTTATCTTCTTTCATTTTATAATCTCAACATTCTACTTTTATTCTTTTCATCTTCTTCTACTTCCTAATTTCACTTTTTTCTTTTATATCATTCTTTCTCTTCATTTCTCTTCCTTTTTCTCTTATTTCCTTTTTTCGTCTCATACTTACAATAAAAAAATAAAATAAAACAATAATAAGAATAAAATTAAAGTAAAATAATCAAAATACATTGAAATATTCAATTTATTTATTTTTAATTTCAGATTCATTAAATAGATTAAATTTTCATCATTTTATTCTTTTAATTTTATTCAATCTATTTTCTTCGAATCTTATTTCTTTTTCTTTTCTTCTTTCTTTTATCTTATTCATTATATAAATCAATGAATCAACATAAAATAAATAGAAATGTCATTTCATTTATTTTATAATACCATCAATGTTTAACAGATTGTATTATCAATTATACAATTTATAAAAATGATTAAATTAATAAAATGTATCATTTTCAACAATGAATTATTATCATTTATCTTGTATATCTAAATTAGAGTATATACTTTATGTTAGTTAATCATTAAATTTCATTGTATTTTATCTTTCATTTCATGTGTTATTAACTTGTTTAAATTTTGTTATTATTATTTTATTAATTGATTATTTTGATTTCACATGAATTTCTTTTCATCTGATTATTTCAGTGTTTTGTTGTTTGTTTCTATTCATTTTTATGCTCTTTTATTATTTAATACAACATTCATTTGATTTACTTATTATTCTATGTTTTGTTATTCTTTCCATTTTCATTATTTCTATTCATTTTGTTTTAATACTATTTGATAATAATTTACATTTATCACTTCATCAACTTTTATGTTATTTCTTATTATATTATTATTCAAATGATTTCATTTGTTTAATTGAAGTATTTCATTATTAATGATTGTATTGTCAATTATTAGTATGTTTGTGTTTTATTTATCTTTTCATATTTATTTGTTCATTTCTTTTATCTTTATTTTGTTACATTCACATTATTTATCAATTTACATTATTTATTCTTTGAATTCATTAATTTTGATTTAAAATACTTTTATTTGTTTATTGAGTTTGTTTTTCATATTAATTTATTTCTATTGTTATAATATATAAACATTTGATATATGTTGTTAATTGATATATTTCATTTAGTTATATTTTCTTTGTATATAATGTTTCTTTATTGCAGAGAATCATTTGTAATCAATTTTGTATAATTCTTATTAACTTTCTTATTCTTTTCTCTTTTCTTCTTTCTTGTTATCATTTATATTATCTATAATACAAAACATACTGTTTCTATTTGTTGAAGATAATAATTATAAAATAATGTATGATTGATGAGATAATACTTTTGATATTTCTTCATTTCTCTTTGATACAATGTTTAGTGTTTGTATTTTAACATATCTTGATCTGTTGTCTCATCTATCTTCTTTTATCAAAATCTTCATTATTCTTCTTTGAAAATTATTTGATTACATCTGTTTTATTTCTTTTTTCATCTTTTGTTTAATAATTTCTATCATTTCATCTAGTTCATCTGATAACTAATTCATAGATTGTACTTTACTTGTTCATTCTTTTTCTTCTATCATTTTCAATTCTTGTTTTTCTTGATCAATCAAAATGTCTCATTGTTCATCAATATCTCTTTAAATTCATTCTAATTTCTTATCTTCTTACCTTTCTTTATTCCTTTTCATCAACACTAAGTGAATCATAATTACATTCCAATTGATTGAATATTATAAAAACATTCCATCTCTTTGTGACGTAAACGTTAGATTATTTCTAATGACTAAACACACCTCTTATTAGTCATTTTAATGTTTTAAATTTCATTCATATCATTGACATGAAGTTGTACTCATTCAATAAATCATTCCAACGTGTTTCATTTCTCTTTTTATAATTTGATTTACCATCTTTATTAAATCATTCAATTTTTTATTTTTTAGTTCAATTTTATTATTTTTAGAATATTTCCTCAATAATTAAAATCTAATAAATAATTTTTAGATTAAAATTAAAATAGAAATAGAATAAAATAGAATAATAATCTTAAAAATATTTGAAGTTCAAATTTAAATAGAAGAATGGAAAAAACAACTAATAAACAATAAAGTAATAATGAAATTAGGATATAATGAAATAATGATAACATCAATGTATTTTAATGACATTGAAGATTTTATTAATTTAGAAATGGGAGTTAAAAGATTTCAAGGAAATATGGAACGATTTCATTTTAATCCAATTTCTTTAAATGAATATTCAAGAAAATTATTTACTAATATTGAAACATTTCATATTTATAATAGAAGTGATGAAATATTTAATGATGGAAGAATATTTAAACAAGTAATATGGTATTTAGTAAGTTATTCAGAATATTTACAAGAAAAAGAACAAGGAAATATCTGTAAAAATATAGTATATACACAATATGATAGAAAATCATATGGGAATACAATACCATCAGAAGTTAAATCACTTGGAGATTATTGTTTTGATGAATGTTATGAACTAACAACAATTAATATACCAACAACAATTAGTAAATTAGGAAAGTATTGTTTTGATGCATGTAAATCATTAACATCAATTACTATACCAACAACAATTAGTAAATTAGGATATTGTTGTTTTTATGAATGTACATCATTAACAACAATTACTATACCTTCATCAGTTATATCAATAGGACATGATTGTTTTGAAGAACATTTAAGGGAATGTATACCATTAACATCAATGAATATAGAAAATCTACAATTTATCAGTGAAGAAAGAATATTTATGAATGAACCAGTGTTAGTTAGTATTGAAATACCAAAAAAAATTACAAATAATCAATGGAAAGAATATTTTCAAGAAAAATATTAATGAATTTATTATTCCATCTTCAATTACTAAATTAGGTGGTCATTGTTTTTATAGATGTAGATCATTAACGTCAATTAATATACCAACAACAATTAGTAAAATAGGAAAGTATTGTTTTGAATATTGTAAATCATTAAGAAGAATTAAGATACCATCATCAATTAGTAAATTAGGAGATGGTTGTTTTTATGAATGTTCATCATTAAAATCATTTTATATACCAACAACAGTTAGTAAAAAAGCAGCTAATTGTTTTGATGGGTGTTCATCATTAAGATCAATTAATATTCCAACACCAATTATTATGTCACTTGGCAATGACGAATTTACCGACTGTTCATCATTAGTCAATATAAATATAGAAAATGTAAAGTTTATATGTGAAGATAAAGTATTTATACATGAACCAGTGTTAGTTAGTTTTAATACACCAGATAACCTACGAAAAATAAATGGAAAGAAGATTAAAATGAAAGATATTAATGAGTTTATTATTCCATCAACAATTACTAAATTAGATGATCGTTGTTTTTTTGGATGTGAGTTATTGACATCAATCACAATTCCAACAACAATTAGTGAATTAGGAGATTATTGTTTTCGTTGTTGTGCATCATTAAAATCAATTACACTTCCAACAACAATCAGTGAGGTAACACATTGTTGTTTTAATGAATGTTGTTCATTAAGTGAAGTTATATTACCAACAACAATTAGTGAATTACACTATGGATGTTTTTATCTATGCTTATCATTAACATCAATTAACATACCATCATCAATTACATCATTTGGGGATGGTTGTCTCGGTAAATGTAAATGCACAGAAGAGTTAAAGAAGAATAAAACAATACCAAGAAATGCTTTTTCATACATATATTGATACAAAAAGAATAAACAATAAGTAATTGAGTTAGTTCATTAATTATTTGAATAAAAAAGTTATAAAAGACTTTTGAATATAAAAACAATGAGAAAAACATTATAACAGTTGAATTTGAAAGTAATCATTGTGAATATAATAAATATGAATATTAAAGATATTGTGTAATGATTTACAGATAATAAAACATGAAATTAAATAAAAATGATATTATAAACAAGTTGTATATTTTATAATATTTTAATTATTTGATTTTATTGTTAATTTAATGAATCATTATTTATGATTACCATTATCTAATTATTTCATTTCTTCTATTATTCATTTTTGACTTCTTGTTATATTCTTTTCTCATATTAATAATTATTCAAATACTTGAAATTGATTTTTAATTTTAATAATGAATATTTCTTTATAATTTATGATGTTTTTAATTATTTCATATTTAAAAATGTTTTAAATATTTTAAA